GCCTGGGAAACCCTGACCCCAGAGAGCTCATCTGCCCTGCTCAAGACGACACCACTGCCTAGGTGCAGCACGATTGGGTCTCTGTGCAGAGCCAGGAATGAGCAAAACCCTCACCTGGACACGCAGCACAGGGTGGGGGCTTGACCACTGGGTGGCAGGCTTGCTCGAATCCAAAGGATAAGGACAAAATGATGCGAAGGACAGAGGAGAGAGGAACATCTGCTGAGCCTCAGTTTTTTTTTTTTTTAATATTTTACGTATTTATTAGAGAGAGAGAGAGAGAGCATGAGCAGGGGCAGAGGGAGAGGGAGAAAAGCAGAGTCCCCGCTGAGCAGAGAGCATGATGCGGGACTCGATCCCAGGACTCTGGGGTCATGACCTGAGCTGAAGGCAGATACTTAACCGACTGAGCCACCCAGGCATCCCATCCCTGCTGAGCCTCAAATTGTGCGGATTCTCAGGATTCATCTTCTCACTCTTCCTGCTTTACTCAGAGAGCCCATTGTACAGATGCTAAGGTAGAAGACTGGAGGTTAGTCAGTTGTGCTCACATGTCAGTCCTCAGCCAGGGTGCTGGGCAAAAGCAGGTGCTCGGTGTGCACTTGGCAGCTGGATAGTGTCTGAGCAAGGTCTCCCTCAGCCTCTTAAATCTTTTATGCCCTATTGTGGTGGCCTAGCTCTGGCAGATGCCACAGTGCACAGGGCAGGAAAGAAAGGGGAGAGGGACTGTGGCCCTGTGGCTCTCTCTCTCTGTCATTCTCTTGTGCTCTCTCTCTCTCTCATTCTCTCTCTCTCAAATAAATAAATAAAATCTTTAAAAAAAAAAAAGGGGGGAGAGGAAGATGGGGGGGGGGGGGAGGAAGGTGAACGACCCAGAGTGACCAGAGATGGACATGGGGACAGCAGGCGCAGCACAAGTCCGGCATTTGGGAAACTGGCATTAGTGCTTGGGCCTGACCTCTGGGCCTTTCCAAGGTGCCACAAAGGACAAAGCTAACACATGCAAGGCGCAGTCGAATTTTACCGAGTTACCATGACAACAGGAGGAGTAAGCAGAGAGAAACTCCCCCAAATTAGCACTCCTTGTTTCAGACAATTTTAAGGTTTCCTTTGCTTTCTGTAGTACAAAGGCAAACACACACAGCTGTGCACTGCGTCATGCTGACGTCTCAGGAATAACCGGTGCCGCTCACGACGCCAGAGCGAAGAAGGAGCTGGGAGTTGCTCATTTCATCTTTCAGCAGATGAGGCCTGCAGTGCTTTTCCAACAGGGTATCCGCCCTGGGACACTGGTGGAGATGCTGGCAGCCCTCTGCTCCGGCTCATGTTTCTCCATGGCTTCGAAGGGACCAAAGCAGAGCACTGTCACCCGTTGAAGGGGGAGCATGGAGTTGGCAGGCCTGCGGACCGGCTTCGGCAGCGAAGGTTTCAGGAAACCCTGACTAGGGTTCACATGTACACAATCACCCTTTCAGAGGATCTGGCATTCCCTCAGGGAATTCAGAGATGGCCTGTGCCAAAGGGGAGAAGCGAGGTCTCTGCCGATCGCCACAGGGCCAGAGGGCCACCGCCGGGACCGCCCGCACCCCTGCTGGTCCCCTCACCAGCAGCCTCACCTCCAGGCACGGGGTGCGTGTGCCTGTGACCGAGGAGCCCCCAGCAGCCGCCCTAGACCTGAGGGACAGCCTGGGCTGGTGCAGGAAGCCGAACACACAGGGCCTATGTCGCAGCCAGCGGGCCAGCGCATGCAAGCCATTGTTTCTGGGTATTCCTAGAAGAGACTGGCATGTGATTTGGTAGACCGAGGCGAGACTGTCTGCCATCAGCAACGTGGAGGCATCACCAATGCAACCCGCTGATGGCCCCAGGAGAATGCAAAGGCAGAGGAAGCTCTCTGTTTGAGTGGGGAGGTCCATCTTTTCTTGCCAGAGCACCTGTTTCTCAGACCATCGGACACCACTGGCTTTCCTGGGTCTCCAGCTTGCAGACAGAGATCGTGGGACATCGCACACTCCAGTCCCCTGAGTCAATCCCTAAAACAAACCTCCTCAGATCTGTCTCTACCCCATTGGTTGTTTCTCTGGAGAAGCTGACTGAGGCCGGAATCGAAGGCCCACTCCTGCAACCTGCTTTCCAGACTCAGTCTTCCTAGCATGAAGCCACAGTGCAGTCCCAGCAGGCGGCCTTTCTTAACCAGACCCCCTGAGGCAGTGTTTTTACCTCAACTGTGGCATCCAAGCTTCAGAAGCAGCAGAGCCTGGCCGTCACCCTACCTCTGGCCGCCCCCAGGGCCTTCTTCAGGGAGAGGCGGCAGCCCAGCTTGGCGGCTCTGAGGACAGCCTGTCTCTCACTGGCCACCCTCCCCAGTAACTACTCCCACCCAGAAGCGTGAGAAGGACCCTTCTGTCTGCCTTGCTGCTGGACTCGATGCCACCACATTCTGCCCTCCGTGACAAGAAGCACCTTTATTTTATTTTCTTTATCATTATTTTTTTTTAGTAGGCTCCACGCCCGGCATGGAGCCCCATGTGGGACTTGAACTCACGACCCTGACATCAAGACCCGAGCTGAGATCAAGAGTCGGACACTCAACTGACTGAACCACCCAGGTGCCCCATGAAGCACCTTTAAATAGCAAGTGCAGGGAACCCCTCTGCCAGGTGGCTTCTTGGCTGCCCTGGTTCCCACGTGCACTCTCGAAGGCAGGGAGGGTCTCGTCATAGAATGAAGGGACTGGGACAAGGGACATGTGAATGTGGCATCTGGGGCAGGGGGCTCAAGCTCCATCCTCTTATCACGACCACAACAGCCTGGGAGCAGACCAGAACCTTGTGGGGTCATGTAGTCCCCTCGGGGACCTGGCTGGTCTGGAGCAGAGACGCTCCCACCACGGAAGCAGACGGCCTCCCCTTGCCTCAGGGTGGGCTCCACCTGCCCAAGGATGGGGGCTTCAGGTACCAGGTGGGAAGAGGTTTCTAAACTCCTTGCAGAAAAAAGACAAAGGAAACATCCCCATCTTGAAATGACTGCATCACACTGGTGATTCAAGTGTCTTCCTTTTCCTTCTACAAACTTTTGCAAAGTCCAACAAATTGTCTCATAGTAAAAAGAATATTTTTAGGGAAATGCATTTATTGGCAAAATGCTACGACCTACGCTTATGTCAACTGGTGGTACAGACAGGGAGGAGGGGGCTGCGTGCCAAGTGGAGGACCTAGAAAGTTGGGCCCGGAATGGTGCAGGACTAAGTCCATGGGGATGTCCCAGCAAAGGACAGATTCCAGGGCAGGTGGGGGACAACCGGTCCATGTCACCAACGGCTGAGAGGGATGGGTGTCCCCTGGCCAGGGGATCCCATCTGTAGCCCAACACCCTGGCGAGGAGATCCAGACCCCAGGCCTGGGCTGGGAGGGATCAAACCTGCTTCTCTAGCCTCCCTGGTCTGGCTTCCCCTTGTGGAGTAAGATCCCCAAGTGGAAGAGCCAGGAAGGGAAGACAGGGAGCCTGAGATGCCCCGGTTTCTGCAGCCAGGCAGTGGAGCCACCTCAGGGCACCCAGGGGACACAGGCAGGAGGACAACAAAGGCCTCCCAGGCCGGGGCAAGGCAGGGCAGACAGGGGGGACAGCCACAGACCCCAGGTCAACTCCCAAGGGAGCTCCAGAATGTCACACTCCCCCTGGCAGACATCCAGGTGAGCAGATGGCCTCACTGCCCAATCACTCCCACCTGAGCACGGGAGATGGGGCCATGGAGAGGGAATGTGGACACAGCACAATTCCCAGAGGAGGGGCCAGTCTCTGGTTTAGATGCTGCAGAGACTGTCCAGTTTGGTGGTGGGAGGAGCACTGCAGGAGGAGTCCCAGGGGGACTGTGGACCAGCTTCCCTTCAGAACGGCTCCTTTGCTTCAGCCATCCTGTGCCTGTCAGAAATTTCAGCAGATGCCAAGGTCACAGGGGAAGGCCGAGAGGCACCAGCTTCTGCCTCCTGGGCAGCACCCCTGAGTGGCCAGTCTAGGGTAGGAAGAATGCTGCACGTCCACATCAGTGCCCATAGAGGGCAGCAGGCAGCCGGGCCTTGTGCATCTCCAGGGGGTGGGCACCATCAGCCCCTTCCGCAATCTCCTAGAGCTCCCCAAAATGAGTGTTCCTCATCCCAGTGACTGGGGGGCCAGCCTGGGGCCCACACCCTCCCGCTGTCCAGTAGCCTACATCCCATGGGCACTGAGACGTGTCAGCCTGCAACCAAACCACAGAGGGCATCAGAAGAGGGGCTTCTCGGCATCACCTGTGTCCACCAACAAACCCACCTGCTCCAGGGAAACCTGCTCCCACCACAGCTTCATGGTGTGACCATATGCTGTGAGCTCCTGGTGTGTCCCTCCACCACACCCACCCCTCATGACAGGATGGGAGCCAGCCATGGCCCTAGAGTGTTTCTGCCACCGGCCTGCAATGGGGACCCAAGAGGTTTGGGGGACAGAGGAGCTCAGAGGCCCAACACCTCCTCCGCCTTCTTCAGAGGAATCTGCTGCTGAAGTAGGGTGTGCAGGCCTCACAGGCCGGCCCCAGCACCAGGATTAGTGGGAGAGAAGTGGAAGGCAGAGAGCAATGGTACCCTCGCCCTATCCCCACGGGCCCAGCAGGCCCTCAGGCCTCCAGAGAGGGCACCAGTGGAGTGCCCAAAGAGAGAGGTTCCCATCTGCTGCGGGTCCTGATTTACAGGGAGGCCCTGAGGTCTGCGGGGCAGCTACATTGGGCTGGGCCCCCTCCCAGCACCACCCATGTGCTCAAGAAGACTCCTCCTCAGCCCTGCCCTACGTATGGTTTGGTCTGTTGGGGTAGTCAAAACCCAAAAGTGCCCAAAACATGTCTAAACACCCAAGGGATTCAGGGGAGACACATCAGGGCCCAAAACAGTGAACATCAGCCCCCTGGATAGGGATTTCAGGAAGGGGCCCAAGGACAGAGGTGACCCCCAGAAGGTGAGAGCGGCACATCACCTAGAGCTTCGCAGAGAAGGATGCGAAATCGTCCAGCAACTTGATGTCATTGGGGAATGTCAGCCATGCCCCGCCGTCAACCACCAGCACGGCCCCCGTCACGTAGGACGCCAAAGGGCTGGCCAGGTACAGTGCGCTGTGGGCGACCTCTGTCTTGTTGCCCAGCCTCTGCAGGGGGATGGCCAGAGTCTTAGTGCCAGCCCTGGCCTGGGGGCCACCTGGAAGGGCAGAAGGAGGCTCAGCCCCATGAGCCCTAGGACAAGGGCCCTCCGCTCCCCTCTGCCCAGCTCTTCCTAAACCACATCCAGGAGCCCTGGGGGCACTGTTGGCACCATCCCAGCAGGGCAGGAACAGCAAGGTATGGCCACGGCCACAGAGCCAACACAGGGCTCTGACATGCACCCTGTCAAGGTTCTGGAGGTGCTAATGGGTGCCCCCATTGTGTCTGGCTCATGTGTCAAGGCCGGCAGCTCTGTGGCCTCTACCTCCAAGGAGCAGCTGTCCACGTCTGGCCAACCATCAGTCTATCACAGCTGTGCTCCCCAAGAACGGCCAAGACTTGGCTTGGAGACAGCCTCTTTGCCAGCCCTGGGAGCCATGAGGAAGTGGCCCTTCTCCTGGGCCTGTCCCAGCCAGGTGGGAGAGGATCCCATGGAGGCACTGTGGGGCATGGGGCTCCCCAAGGGGCTTACCCAGCCGCCGGAACCCCTCTGTGCCACTGATGGGGCCAGGGGCGAGGCTGTTGACACGGATGTTCTGGGGACCCCACTCCACAGCCAAGTGCCGTGTCATTGCATCTGCAGAGAAGGCAGGCAGGCATGAGGGGGGATGCAGGGCTACTCTGCTTTCTGGGGTGGCTCAGGTGTGAGTCGGGGCTCAGGGCCAGGCCTCTCCACTGCCCACCACTGGGCTTAACTTCACTAGGACACTGCTGGCTTCCATGGACAGGCAGGAGAGGGACCTAAAGGGAACCCAGGCAGGCAGACCAGATAGGGGTGCCCGTACCCACAGCTGCTTTGGCAGAACCTGCATGCACTTGAAGCACCTGCCCCCGGGTACCCAGGGTCGCAGTGATGTTCACGATCACCCCTCCATGGTCCTGTAACACATGGGGGAGTGCAGTGAGTGGGTGTCCAGAGGAGACGTCTCCCAGGTAGAAAGAACACTCACCCTGAAGAACTTTTCGTAAAGCACACGAGATGTGTTGAAGGTGCCCAAGGTGTCGATGTCCAACACGGTCTTAAAGGCATTGAAGGACAATGCGCTGGCAGGGCACAGGAAGTTTCCAGCTGCACCTGCAGGGTGTTAAGAAGACAGTGGCTGGTGCTGGAGCCCCAGGCACTTAGGACACATGGACCCTCAGGGTGGTCCAGGCTGGACAGGGAAGGGGCCCAAGCACTTGGGTAAATGCTTGAATGATAGGGCAGGATGGATATCATGGGTTGAATTATGTCCCTCAGAAACATATGCTGAAGGGGCGCCTGGGTGGCTCAGTCGATTAAGCATCTGACTCTTGATTTCAGCTCAGATCATGGTCTCAGGGTTGTGAGATTGAGCCCCGGGTTGGGCTCTGCACTGAGCATGGAGCCTGCCTAAGATTCTCTCTCCTCCCCACATCTAAAATAATAATAATAATAAGGGTGAAGAGTCTGCTGCTCCCTATCCCTCAGCTCCTCCGCCTGCTCATGCTCTCTCTCTCCCTCAAATAAATAAATAAAATCTTCAAATAATAGTAATAATTTAAAAAGACATGCTAAAGTCCTAATCCCCGGTACCTGTGAATGTGACCTTATTTGGAAATAGGATCTTTGCGGATGCAGTCGAATTAAGATGAGGTCACCCGGGATTAGGGGGGCCTAAATCCAAGGACTGGTGTCCTCCTAAGAAAAGGAGAAAAGACACAGAGACATATGGAGAAGGCCATGCAGAGAGGCAGGCAGAGACTGGAGTGATCCCACCCCAAGCCAAGGAGCACCAAGGATTGCCAGCAACACAAAAAGCTGAAAGAAAGGCCCGGAACAGATCCTCCCCTGGACCCTTGGGAGGGTGACCCCACCTTGGTTTGGAATTTGTGACCTCCACGAGTATGAGAGAACATATTTCTATTGTTTTAAGCTACTCAGCTCGTGGTACCTTGTTAGCTGCAAGAAATCAATACAGCCTGTGTTTTTAAAAGGGAATTTCAGCAAAGAGTGAACCTTGATGTAAACCGCAGACTAAGGTTACCAGCATGGACCATACTGGTTCATCAACTCCTACAAATGCAAGCTGTCCACACCAGGGGGCACTGTGTGTGGGGATACACGGAATTCTAGGTACTGGCAGCTCGATTACTCTGTAAATCTAAAACTCTACTAAAAAAATTAAGTCTAGGGGTGCCTGGGTGGCTCAGTCGTTGGGCGTCTGCCTTCAGCTCAGGTCATGATCCCAGGGTCCTGGGATTGAGCCCCGCATCAGGCTCCCTGTTCAGCGGGAAGCCTGCTTCTCCCTCTCCCACTCCCCCTGCTTGTGTTCCCTCTCTCGCTATCTCTCTCTCTGTCAAATAAATAAATAAAATCTTAAAAAAAAAATTAAGTCTCTTTTTTTTTTTTAAGGGGAGAATTTTGGGACATCAGAGTACCCTGACTCTGTGAGTAGGTGGAGTTCCCAGGATGTCCACTTGAGCCATGACTGCACTGACCCAGACAGAGCCTGGGGCCCAGGATGGGAGTTCTGAGGCCGACCCATCAGAAGCCCCCGGGCCTAATCCATCAGACACTCACAGTTAACGAGAATGTCGATTTTCCCAAACTCCTTCAGTGCCTGGTCCACGGCAGCTGCGACGGCTGGGAGGGCCCGAACGTCCAGAGATAAAGGGAGGCACCGCCGGCCAGTGGCAGCAGTCAGCTTTCCGGCAGCCTGGAAGCCAGACAGGAAGAGAGGTGGCCAGCAGCCCTGTGGCTTCCGGACCTGATGAGGGTGACGTGTCCAGGTGACGCTGGACCCCACTCTGGAAGGCACAGCTGTTTAGTGGCCACTCCATGCTCTGCCACAGCCCTAGGCGACACTCTCTTCCCCTCACCCCCGGATCCTCCTTCCACATTACCCTCCAGGCCACTGGTCCCTGGCCATGGGTCAACGGCAGCTCCAGCTGACTTCCAGTCCCTGCCTAGAGACCAGCTGGGGCAGTGGTGAGAGTCTCCTCCCAGGTGGACGGGACATGCGAACCACCCTCAAAATCCTTACGAGCCGAGATCTCTCTTGGGGCCACAGTCCTACCCAACGTGAGAGCCTCCTCACAATAATGAGACTTTGGAAGAAGCCTGGGATATCCTTGGGAGGCCACTTGCACTGAAGCTCCACATTTGGGAAAGGGGCAGGTTTTGGTATCACCATCTTCTGAGCCTCAGGACCCCCCAGCGCCACCCATGGATGGGGTGGACACAGGAAAGACCCCCTCACCTTTGACACTCTTGGAAGGCTTCTGCTGGCGATGACTGTGTGGCAGCCGTGCCTGCAAAGCCAGAGGGCAGATGTGAGGGCGGCAAGGTGCCAGGGGCACCCCCAGGTGTCCTCCTGCCTGCTCTAGGCAGAGCTCCTTTCCCCCAAGGGTCTCTTAGGCTGTGTCCAAAGGCACAGCTTGCAAAGAACACAGGGGCCTGAGCAAAGCAGGGCGGCACCGCTGGTGCCCACGCGGGGGTGTCTCGTCTGGGTCTCTCTGGCACAGGGTATCCCAGCCACACAGAGCTGTGGGCCCTGCCCCAAACACCGCATGCACAGCACTGAAGTGGCTGCAGCCTCAGACACACAGCCCAGGCATCTGCATGGGGCCTGCTAGGGCCCCCAGCCTCTCCCTATGAGGTAGGAATGAAGAACAGGGAGGGCCCATTCTGCAGCCAGGGTGCCTGCCCTGCCTCACAAACTCAGCCTCACGGTAACAACAGTATCTACCACCTGCTAAGCAGGTCCCGCCTGGTCCTCAAAATGACCCTCAGCACATGGGCTCCTGGGTGGCTCAGTTGGTTAAGCGACTGCCTTCGGCTCAGGTCATGATCCTGGAGTCCCGGGATCGAGTCCCACATCGGGCTCCCT